TGGTAGTCCTGACCCATCTCCCTGGTCTTGTAGCGGTCGAGCGGCTGGAAGAAGTGGGCCACGTCGTCGTCGATGTGCCATCCGTGGACGTCGCTAGGCGACTCGCCAAAGCGCCACCTTATCTGCTTCGCCAGTGCGGTCGCGATGGCCTGGCACAAACAGTTCGGGTGCTCCTTGGCCGCCGCGGTGCGCCACTGGCCGTCGTCGTTGATGCCCGCCAGCTCCGCGTGGTAGGAGGCCGTGTGGAAGGACCTCCCGCCTCCAGGCAATCTGCTGATTTCTGCTCGGAGGGTTGGTAGGGATACCGCCAGCAGGCTTGTGGACTTCCTCGAACGCGCTCCACAGGTGCACTGGTCGAATGTGATCAGCTCGACCCCCTGCTGGTCCAGGAGGTGGCGCGTCTCGGGGAGCCTCCAGGAGCTGGCGAAGTGCTCCTCGGTGGGCTCGCACGGGTGCTCGAGCATGCCTGGGACTCCAAGGTTGAGGCACATGTACATGAGCTCCAGCTGTGTCCTGTATAGGCGATTGCCTATCGCTACTTGCTCCATCTCTGGACGGGAAAGGTAGCGAAGGCCCCACAAGCCGTCGCTGCTTCTTAGGGGTCTTGGTGGGCGACCCCTGCAGTCATTGGGGGGCAGGTGGCGCGCTCGGCTCCAGGTCTCGCACGGCGGTCCGCCTATGACTCCTGCAATCCTCCCTGCTTGTGCCATGCCTCGCCACTTGTTGACTGCGACTTCTGATGTCAGGTCGCCGAAGGTCGGGTCGTTGGCGATGTCCAGGCTGAGCATGTGTATGCCGCATGAAGCCCGACTGCTAGGACGGTCGAACCAATCCTGAACATCTCCTTCTCGGCGACGGCCGCTGAACAGATGCAGCACGTATAGAGTCCGAGCTGGCCTGGGCCTGGGCACAGCAGCTGGCGGCGGCGGTGGCTCCTCGATGAAGGGGAGCTCGAGGCTCTCGTAGTGGCCGCCATTGCTGTCGTCGCTGTCCTCGTCCGTGTGTATTTCTGGAGGACGAGCAGGGACTGCAGGCTTCTCTGCCCAGTCGATGGGCCTGCCCGCCCTTATGTTCGCCTGCTGCTGGTCGCGCACCACTTGCTGGTTGTGCTGCAGCTCGGCTTTGCTGAGGAGTGCTGGACGTGTCTTTCGCCAATGTCGAGCGCACCTGCGCACTCGCAGCAAGTGCTTGACCAGCCTGTTTGTGGTGTGGTAATCCATGCCGCATCCGTAGCAGACCGAACCAGTTGCCCACGAGATAAGATGCCCCGACGAGGTGTGGTCCTTGGTGATGTGGGCTCGTAGCACTGCTGCGCTGAGTTCAGTACGTCCGCGGTGGTAGCATAGGTACTTGCGCTGCTGCTCGAAGTGCTGGTCTGGGAAGGGCGAGATGGCTTCCGTGTTGGTCCACCGCTGGAGTCGTAGCCGCCATCGAGCGTGGTGGTCGTGATCGTACTGGCGGGCTTTGCCACGTTGGCAAGCTTTCTTGGCTGCGCTGAGGTAGCTTTTGTAGTCGTTCCTGGCCCAGTCCTTCCAGTCTTCGAGCGTGTATGCTCCACCACGCTCGTCAGGTCCTGTGTGGTCGCGGACCCAGTCTAAGTCGCGGCGGAGCAGTGCCACCCAGCCGTAACTACCATCCCATGCTTGGCTGAGTAGTCGGCGGAGGTGCAGGGGTCCCCAGTTGAGGCATCTACCGGATAGTCGTAGCCGCTCAAGACGTAGGGCTATCTCGGGGGGCAGCTTGTCGACCCCTTCGAGGATCTGGGTGTTCGTGACCACCTTTTTCTGTCGTACTTTCCAAGTGATCCTCTGCGCGGCAGCGTAGTTCACGATATACTGGTTGTTGAAATTCCTGGCCTGGCCTGCTGTGAGTTCAGGCCAGGTAGACGCATTGTATAGCAGCTGGGATAGCACCACACTGTCGGCTAGGTAGGCCTTGTCTTTGATGGCCAGCTCTGAGCGACGGTGGACTTCGCGATGGAGAGGCCTCGTGGATGTCGCAGCGGTGGCTACCTTCACTGCGACATCCACCCCAGGGGATGCATTGTCGGTTACGTAGGTCCCGAGGAGCTTGTGGTGGCGGACAACCTCGACGTAGCTCTCTGCGAGAGGGACCTCGATCCTCGGCACTCCATTGGAATAGAAGCTGGCCCGAGCTTGCCGGCTCCCAGGCCCACTGAAGTCGATCATCACCTTGGTCTTGGTGAGCTGCAGCTGGAGGCCGAAGGTGCTGGTGGCGCAGTAGACGGCTTCGCAGAACCCCGTGGCCTCGGACTGAATGTGATCGGGGCTGGTGAACACGTGCATGCCCGTGAGGTCGTCGACGAACGATAGGCCGTGAGGTTCGTGCTCCTGGAGTGGTCCGTCTGTGGGGTCGGTGTCGCATGCGAAGCTGCTGTCTAGGGGCTTGCCCTGGGGCCTCCTCCTCCTCTTCATCCCCCTCCCCCTCCTGCTTCTGGCGGCCAGACGAGGAGGGAGGAAGAGAAGAAGTCAGCTAGCAAGGGCGCCCTCGAGGGCGCGAAGTTGTTCGCGCTTCGCGCATCGGCTCCGATTCCTCCGCATCCTCCTCTTTTCCCCTGGGATGCGGCGCGAGAGCGCGAAGTTGCTCGCACTTCGCGCTTCGCGCAGCGCGAAGCGCGAGGTTGGGAGCCCCTGGCTAGCCAGAGGGGAGGAGGACGGAGGGAGAGAGAGAGGGGGGAGCGGCCGAGGAAGGAGGGAGGGCGAGGCGATCGGAACAGAGGCCAGGCCAACCAAGGAGGAAGGAAGAGGACGGAGGAGGAGGAGAAGGAGGAGGAGGCGGAGGAGGAGGAGGTGGAGGTGGAGGAGGAGGAGGAGGAGGAGGAGGGGGAGGAGGAGAAGCAGGAGGAGGAGGAGGACGGAGGCAGAGGGTCAGGCGGAGAAGCTGCTGCAGTCTCGTGCCGCTCTCGTGCGCTGCACGCGTCCATCTCTTCCGCGTCCCCCGCGCGAGTCGTACCCATCGGCGGTTGATAATTCGTAGGTGTGTTTGGACTCCCAGGTTCCGATCTACTTTCAGTGCCTTCCTGCTTCAATGATCGAGTGGTTTCACCTGTTCTTTCCTCTTCAGGGGGCGGGCGGAACCCAATCTACGTTCAACGCCTTCCTACATCATGTTTCTACTTACTTGTTTCTGACCGATGGGTAATGGTGGCTTCGGCAGTCTCCTTTGAGGGGCCGTTAAGGCTGTTCCCGAACGGATAATCATTGGCCGCGGGGGGGAAGATCGAATCAGTGCACGTCGCACATACCCGAATGACAAAAACAACACGGCCCGAGACATCATTTCTCTGAGGTCCGTGCGGGATCTTCGGGTCGATGTTGCGCCCCCCCCCCCCCCCTGGCGGCGCCTCCGGCTCCGCCCGGCGCCGATCCAAAACATGCAGCGCGGACCCCCGAGACATTACATGCTTGCCTTTGCTTTGCTCCTCGAACATCGTTGCCCACCCATCTTAGCTCGTCAATCACGCAAGGTCTCGATCGTGTGCAGCCTGCCGGGGCATCGGCGATGCTCCACGTGTCAGTTTGGCCACGAGGTGCCGCTCTGGTCTCGTTCTCTTGATTATGACTCCCGGCCACCCCCGGTCAGGTTTGCTTCCAGTTGCTTCCGCCCTCCTGACTGCCACGCTGATGTGGACCCTCGGCCTGCAAAGGGTACTCCAGATTTCGTAATCTAGGGAGGGGGTCTCATTTCGGGGGGGGGGGTCTCTTCCAGGCTATCTTGGAGGGCCTGGGGGGTCTGGGGACGATGTTTTGGAGGGTTCTCCCACGGGGGAGGTCTGAAACGGCTTGTCTTGGAGGGTCCAGACCCCCTCCCTTTTATTACGAAATCTGGAGTACCGTGAGAAGCGGCAGCTGCTCTGTAGACGTGGGTGGCGGGAGGAGTTCTGCGATGGGGGGATGGGGAAGATATGGCGACGGTCGTTTGCACTGCCTGGACACTGTAAGCTCTCCAGCTTGCTTGACGACCCTGCGTGGTGTCGGGCCTCGGTTGCCCACTCGGTCGGTGTCCCTCCGCCGCCGTGCCTTCCTCTTGCCTTCGCTTCGCTTCGCTTTCGGGCCCTCCTCTGGTCCCCGCTCGTCGCTGTGATGAGCGTTCTGGAGCTAGCGCTTGACCCCAACCCACGTCCAAGACAGAACAGTGCCGCTCCACGATCTCCCAGGATTCCCCGTTGCTCTAGACGGGCGCCGAAAACGAGGCCATCCAGACGCCCCAGAATGCCTGGGACGCAGCCTGAGCCCATTCGCATCACGACACCGTTCGACTCGCCCTGCCTCGGTCGGAAAGGGCTACGACGAGCAGAAACCCGTTCCAGAGCGCTGCGGAACGCTCTCAGAGCGTCCCGGAACTCTCCGAGAGGGCCGCGGCGCCCGAGACATCTTCCAGAGCCGCTGGATCTCAGGGATCCCCGACGTATCCTCCCCCGAGTGTATCCTCGCCCTGGCCTTGTCCTATACCCCTCGGCTCGCCCTGTCTCGCGGCTGGCCTGCCCGCATAGAAAGGACGGGCAGCCTCCCCAAGGGTGCCTCTGCATCCTTGCCTCCTGGGTCCCTCCTTGGCCGCTTTCGCTGGCCAACCTCGTTCGAGAAACGTTCACGCGGCCCTCCAAGGCCCTTGCACCCTCACCGCACATGCTAATTGTACGGGTTGACTGCACTTCGCATCAAGACACCACTCGACTCGCCCGGTCTCGTTCGGAAAGGGCTAGGACGAGCACAACTCCGTTCAGAGCGCTCCGGAACGCTCCCAGAGCGTCCCGGAACTCTGCGAGAGGCCGCGGCGCCCGGGACATCCTCCAGAGCCGCGGGTTCTCAGAGATCCTCGAGTTATCCACCCCCGAGTGTATCCTCGTCCTGGCTTCGTCTCACGCCTCGTGGCCGGACGGACGACGACGGACGACGACGACGACGACGACGACGACGACGACGACGACGACGATGTCGACGGCTCGCCCTGCCGCGTGGCTGGCCGAACGGCGGACGGAGGTCTGGAGGCGCGCCCTGGGCCCGCTCGCCGCCGCGGAGCCGCGCGCGGCCGAGGAGGCCGCGCCCGAGGCCGGCGGACCCCCGGCGGCGACGGCGACGGCGGCGACTTGGGCGCTGCGTAATGGGGGGGTCATAAATGGGGGGGCGGCGAGTGTGGCCCGAAAAGGTACCCAAACGGTACCTAAACGAGCCCCCCGCGGCTCCGGAGGGGCCCGAAAGGGGCACGAAAGGGGACCTTTTCTGACCCCCCCATTTGTGACCCCCCCATGAAGCCACGCCCAAGCGACGACGACGACGAAGGAAACGACGACGACGACGACGACGACGACGACGTCGATAACGACGGTGATAACAACGACGACGACGAAGAGGATCACGACGACGACTAGAACCACGAAGGCGACGGCGACGACGGCGACGGCGACGCCGACGACGGCGAGGACGACCCCGGGACGACGACCACAGACAACGACGTCTGGAGAAGATCAGGGCGGAGGTTCCGAGCCACGCCGCGGCCCCCCGGGCGCGGCGTCCCGAGAGCACCGGGAGGGTCGAGGGCGCTCTCGCCCTCCGCACGGGGCCTCGTGGGGGGGCCGTGCCGGGGCCCGGCCTCGGGAGCAGCGGGGGGCGTGCATCGGGGCTGGTGGACGTGTCGGCTGCCCTCGTGCGTCTCCGGGGCAAGGCTGGGGGGGGGGGGGATAGGCACACCGTCAGCCCGCAGAGGAGAGGTGAGCAGCTGTGCAGGGGCTCCCGTGCACCCTTGCCTCCTCGGCCCCTCCACGGGGCCGTGCCAGGGCCTGGATCTCGGGAGCAGCGGGGGCGTGCGTCGTGGTGGGTGGACGTGTTGTCCGCCCTCGTGTGTCCACGGTAGGTTTGTGTCGTGTCGACCGGCGGCGACCCCGCCAGCGGCGTTCCATTTGGAACGCCGCGGGCGACCCAGAGTCGTTCGATGTGGAACGATTTGGACGTTTCGGAAGCGGCCGATCGTTCAAGGTTGAACCATCCCCGCGGTGTCAGAAACCAACGCCGAAGTCGGCACGACACGAACCTGACGTACGGGGCAACGATGGGGGGGGATAGGCATATTGGCGCGAGCGAAATGGGTACGGAAAGAATGGGTACCTCGCCCACCAGCAGTTCTTGTTCATGTTGAACAGGACTCGCTGTCTGCGCCGCCTCGCCCTATGTCCATTTGAAACAGAAGGCCGCCTGCCCAACAGCGGCCGCTGTTGGTTTGGGGCAACACTTGTTGTTTGGGCATTGTACCTGTTTTGGTCCGTACCCATTTCGGGCGTCCAAAACATACAGTCAGCCCACATAGGAAGGACGAGCAACTGTCCAAGGTTTCGCCCATCCTCGGCCCATCATTGCCTCTTCGGCCCATCCTTCGCTGCTAGTGCTGGTCGCGCCCCGCTCGCACAGTGCCGAGATGGCCCTCCAAGGCCACTGCATCCTGGATCTGCATCCTCATCGTGCGTCCTTGGTATGTTGGTTGATGTAGGGGGGGACGCGTCGACCCCCGATCGCCCGTTGACCGCCGAGAAGGGCCCGATAGCCCCAACCTGCCCAGGAACGTTCGGATTCACTTCTGGGGGCCTATCGCGGATCTATCGGCGATGTATCGCCGATTCCAGGTCGATGGTTCATCCCCCATGCCTATCCCCCCCTGCTGTTACCCCTCAATGTCGTGGCGTCCTCGTCCCCTGACCTCGAGCGACTTGGACAGAAGCAATACAAAGGTTCCTCACAAGGTTGGGCATCTGGGGGCCATTCCCCAGTCCCTGGGAGCGTCAAGAGGTTGCCCCAGCAAGGCACCGCGTTAGCAGCACTGGTGACAAGACGGGTCGAGGAGTAGGAGAAGCACGGCCGGGAAGCCTGAGAAAGGAAAGATGCAGCCTGGACAGGGTTGAGAGCACGACCACGAAAACCTTACAGTGCTTGCGTTACAGGGAATACAGTCAACCCGCATAGTGAGGATGGGCAACCTCCCCAAGGGTACCCTTGCATCATTGCATCCTCGGTCCATCCTTCGCCGCTTTCGCTGGCCGCGCCCCGCTCGGAACGCTTCGAAATGGGCGTCCGAGGCCCTTGCATCCTTATCGCGCATCCTTGCTATGCTGGTTGACTGTACAGTGCCGTTTTTAATACATGCTCCGCGTGCGGATCATGTATTAAACATGTAGGGATGTAGTATTAAAACAGCGACGAGTTCATGCATAAATCTATTCATGAGGTAATCATGAACTAAAAATCCTATAGTTGTCAAAATCCGATGTATTAGAAACTGCCCTGTAGTGGCCGTCCGCACCAACAGTGTGGCTGGCATGGAGGCGAGAGGGCACGGCTTCGGAATCGAGTGCGAGGGAGTCTCGGGCGAAGCACGTCTGCCGGGCCGCTGCTGGACAAAGGCCTGGTTCGGGCAAAGGGGCCATGGTAAAACTACCCAGGATGAAAAGACTGCCCTGGAAATGTCTGGGCGCCAGCGGCTCGACAAAAACAACAAGTTGTCGGAGGTATGGGTTTTTGTCCCGAGTGTTGATCTGACATTGTCGGGGCTGTTCACTTCTGGGGGTCACCCTTCTCTTGGGGCTGTCGTCGGTGGGACAGGTCCTGGGCCTCTGGCTCTGCGCACCCTCTGAGGCTGAAGGTGGCGAAAAAGTTGCAACGATTCAAATGATCGACTGGCGGGGTGAACTCATGGCACACGGCAGGAGCATCCAAGAGCGCCCGAAGACTACCAAATCGGGGGAGCTGGCCCTTACAGTCGAGTTTGATTAGTAGGTCGACCCTGCCCAAGCAAGGGTACCCTTGTGCCCTGTGTTTCGCGACCCTTGTCCTCTACGTTCCATTGGCACTGTGGTCATCGGAAGAGCCGTGTATCCTCTCGCGTGTCCTCTCCAATCCACCCCGACTGTACGAACTTCCCCTCTCGACCGTGTGAGCCTTGGGGCGCCCCACGCCGCGTTCAGGGCGCTGAGGCGGCTAGGGATGGCGGGCGGGTTGTTCTCCTGCTCCCTCCTCCGGATCCATCTTCCAACCCCCCTTCCCTCCTCGTCCGTCTCCTTCTCCCTCCTCACTTCCTCATCCTCCCTCCTCATCCCTACCTCCTTCCTACTTCCCTCTCGCTGCTCCCCCCTCCCACCCCTCCTCCCCCTTGCACCCTCCGCTCTGCAATCTCACCCGTGCTGTTCTCTCATCTCCCACTGGACCTGTGCTTTCCAGGCCCCACCTCTCCCAGGTATTGTTTCACGCGCACGCGCACTGTGCCAATATTGGTTCGGATTGGCTTCCTTATGAAGAGGTGCAGCAGTCGAGATTCGAACACACACTTGCTTGGAAGAGTACCTCGGGACTCCCGACATGGGTACGGAACAAATGAACACGATGCCCGCAGAGAGCTTCGCCCCAAAAACCAACAGTTGCCGTTGTTGGGCAGGCGACATCTTTTCTCAGATGGAGGACGCCAGCGGCGATGCCGACAGGGAGCCCTGTTTCAAAATGGACAGGAATTGCAGTCGGTCTTCGTCCCCATTCTTTCCACACCTTCTCCGGTCGTACTGACAGGCGGCGAGCACAGGGTTCACCCATAGGTGGCGCATGTGTAGCGGCGCTGTGCGGGCGTCTCCAAGGGAGGCAGCCGAGAGAGAGGCTACGACGAGTGCCAGCCTGCGTCGCGTACCGAGGAGGTGGGAAGAGGAGTACGGACCGACGTGCAGCGGCGAGCCGTGGCGGAGTGGCAGCAGTGGCAGAGCGTGAGGCCGGCAGACCTACGCATGCAGGAATCCAAGATGTGTTTTTGCGTTTTCTCCCATCCGAACGTTGTTGGCTGTTCGAGGAGGTGATCCCGCTGCAGCGTTGGCCTCGTTTCAGGAACGGAGCTTCGCGCTTGTCCTTCCAGATGGTGCTCTCTCTCTCTCTCTCTCTCTCTTCAGAGCGTGTGATATTTCTGTTTCTGACACCTTCGTCGTTGCCGCCTCTCTTCTTTCCACATCATCCTTATCATGATCTTTGTGCTCCTCCCGGCTGGTGCTCCTCACCCTTCATCCAAGACAGGTAATCAAGGGTTGCACCCTCACTAAGAAGGGCCTCGAGAACCTTCAGCGTATCAGGCGAAGCTTTTTTACTGGCCACTGGGCCATCGGGCCCCATTTTGGAGGCTGACGACTGCCGTGATCGGCGCCAGTATGCGCGTCGCATGGTACCTGGCGCCATGTGTCTCTCGCCATGGAGGCTGCGGCGCTCAGGACACTCCAGGTCGCTCCAGCTCATCCTCCTGCTGATCCGCCACTTCCTCCACAACTCTGCACAGCCCCACTTCCTGATTGCACATCACGCGATGGGGTCGTCTGGGGGATCCAGACCCGCCAGGACACCCGTCGGCTGACAGAGACATCATGAGCGCAGTGGGAAGTGGTAAGGGATGGGTGGGAGGGGC